GTTTCACCATGTTGGCCAGGTTGATTTCGAACTCCTGACCTCAGGTGATCCACTCAGCCTCCCAAAGTGCTTGGATTACAGACACTCGCCGATGCACCCCCTTATACTTTTCAAGTTGTACTGTCATCATATGGTATCTGTTTCCTATCATATTATAAGTATTTGAGAGCCAGAGCTATGCTACTGTATTGATCTTTGGAATCCTGATACCAAGCAAGATACTGCTTTTAGCATACAAGCTGATTTCCATTGAATTAATAGCTTTGGTACTTGTCCAATACTTAATCCTTGGATAGCATCAATTTGCCTCAGTCACTTCACATTATAATTAGTGATAATAAGTATTCTGAGATCAAACAGGGGTCAAGCATGAAATGTAGTACTTGGAAAGAATCTTCCCTCATTCTTCTCAAGCTCTATGTTACAGGTTGAAAGAAGAAAATGGGAAAGAGAAAAAGGAGGGGGAGGTGAGATCTGAGGAAGGAAGGAGAACAGATCAGAAGGATAGCTCAGAATCCTTGAAGCTAGGGAAGAGTATCAGAAAGCAATTAAGCCTTTTTAAAAAGACATAAGCTGTTCTCTCTCTCTAAAAGACAAGCAACATGGGTCAACAAAGGCAATATACTTACTAGTATTGCTAAACTTGAAATTAATTGGATAATTTGAAATTTCCTCATAACTTGCACAAAACATGAAAAGGCTGTAACTCAAATCCACATCCACTCCCTACCAGTTGAGGGAAAATGAACACCTGACATCTCTTGAGTTGCTCCTCATTAGTAACAACATGTTTCATAGTAACACCTACTACACAGGGCTACTATTACAACTTAACAGATATCACATGTATACTGGATATTAGCAAGAGACTCAGGAAATGTTCTTCATGTTCTTTCCTCTGTCTCCAAACAGTGCTACAGAGGGGGAAAAAACAAAACAAGACAAACACCTCCTGGTAGATTTTCCAATTGTTTTTTTCTCAGCTTTTGACCAAATTTTTCTCAACACTTAACACTGCTAACCCAATAAATTCTGATTCTCAAACCTGCTGGTTGATTTTTCATCACTGTTCAATAAATTTTTTTCAAAGTTGGAGAACAATCCTACATAAACTAAACACACAAAAATCTCACAAGTAAAGGGGATAAATACCATTGAAATGCTTAAGAAGTAGAGCACTCCAAATCGCTACTTTATTAGACACTTAACATGTAATCCCCACACCGATTTCAGCCACTTTCTTTTATTCTGTACATATGAAAAAATTATTGTAACTGGGTAGGGTTTAAAAAACTAAAATTAAAATTCCTTCTAAAACTAGACTTTCTTCCCTTTCTCCCAACACTGAGAATGTTTCTTTAATTTGCAACCAAGAAAAATACCATTTAAAAAAACTATGAATAGAGAACACCAAGATTCTAGCAAAAATGTCAATATACAGTCTTATTTTGTGGCATAGAAAAAAGACAGGAGTAAGATAACATGTATGTTTAATACTGTAGTGACTACTGTCATGTACCCTTTCCACCTACTCCAGTGGTTTATAGTCTCTCACTCGATAGGAAGACACCTTCCTTTTCATCATCTTCTGCGGAGACCTCAGTTTGAATCCCTATTCTGCCTACTAACCAGTTGTGTGATCACAGACAAATGCTACTTAACATGTTCAGGCTGCAGTCAATTCATCTATAAAACAGAGTTGATTATTTCTGCCTTGCAGAATTGTTGAGAAGAACAGACAAGAACACAGTCTCAATGCTGGTAATGACAGCTAATCTTTCTGAATATTTAACATTTGCCACATACTTTTCTAAGCATTTTACAAACAGTATCTTCAATCCTTAAAACAACTATATGAAATCGTTACTATAATTATCACAAAGCTAGAAGGTGACAAAGTCGGGATGTGAATATAGAAAAACTGACACAAAAACCAAGGGAGACATACTAGCTCCGTACTGCTATTACCCACATTCAGTAAGTGCTAAAAATGTTAGGTATTACTAAAATCCTACTGCGTTAAGAGCTCATGCCTATAATCCCAGTACTCTGGGAGGCTGAGGCGTGTGGATCACGAGGTCAGGAGATCAAGATCATTCTGGCTAATATGGTGAAACCCTGTCCCTACTAAAAATAATTAGCTGGGCATGACAGCATGTGCCTGTAGTCCTAGCTACCTGGGAGGCTGAGGCAACAGAATTGCTTGAACCCAGGACATGGAGTCTGCAGTGAGCCAAGATTGCGCCACTGCACTCCAGCCTGGGTGACAGAGCAAGACTCCATCTCAAAAAAAAAAAAAAAAAAAAAAATCCAAATGCCTTAAGAACTTAGGAATTTTTAATCTATAATATACTCAAGAAAAACGATAAATAACACATTAGAAAAAAGCTATAAATGCTAAATATTTTTTTTTCTTTGAGATGGAGTCTCTGTCACCCAGGCTGGAGGGCAGTGGCACAATCTCGGCTCACTGCAACATCGGCCTCCCAGGTTCTCCTGCCTCAGCCTCAGAAGTAGCTGGGACTACAGGCATGTGCCACCATGCCCAGCTAATTTTTGTAGTTTTAGTAGAGACAGAGTTTCACCGTGTTAGCCAGGCTGTTTCTCACATCCCTGACTTCAGGTGATCTACCTGCCTCGGCCTCCCAAAGTGCTGGGATTATAGGCGTGAGCCACCGCACCTGGCTGCTCAATCTTTTTGATCTCTCTCTTTTCTTTTTTGGAGAACAGAACACTTACTCTCAAAGAATCTCTCCATAAAATACTTATTAATTTCAACAAGGAAAAGTAGTAACTCTGTAGTAGAGAAATCTGGCAGATACCACCTTATTCAAATCATAAAAGTTAACCTCATCAATATGAGAACAAACTGACATAATGTGCCTCAAAGAGGATGCACTGAGAACACAACATGGCTTTAGCAGTGATTCTCTGAAAAGTGTATGATCTGAATCTAATCATGAGGAAACTTCAGATAAGCCCACACTGGGGAACATTTTACAAAGTAACTGGTTTGTACTCTTTTAAAATATTAAGGCAAAGAAAGAGAAAGGCTAATAATGAACTGCTGCAGAGTGAAGAAGTCTAAATAACATGACAACTAAATGCAATGCATGGTCCAGATTGATCCTGGACCATGAAAACAGCTATAAAAGATCTATGTGAGACAACTGAGATTTGACAATGAACTGTGTTATCAGATATTATTGCATCAACATTCAATTTCTTGATAACTGTATTTTGGTTATGTAAGACACTGACCTTATGATTAGGAAACATACAATAAAGTATTAGAGGTAAAGTTCATGATGTCTCCAATTTACTTGCAAATGGTATAGAAAAAAAAAACTGATAAAGAGAATTATAAAGCAAGTGTGGAAAAAGTGGTTTATCTGGGTAAAGAGTACATGAGAGTTTCTTTTATACTTCTGTGAGTTTGAAATTTGGTTAAAATGTAAAATTACAAAAAAAAAATCTCAGAAACATAGATGGGTATTTACGTATTTAGAGTGAGAAAAATTATTTCCCAACTGGTACCCCTAATTTTATCCCCTAAAGTCACATATAATGATTTTGAATATTTTTAAATGTACAGGAAGTAGAAATTTGTGGTTAAAAGGACTGTAGAACAGATCTTCCCATTTAGAACAGGAGAATCATGGTCACACAGAATAACTTGAAAGATCATCACTTACTGGTTTAATCTTAACCTATAGGTTGAGCATCCCTAATCTGAAAATCCAAAATTTTATGAGGGCTGACATGATGCCACAAGTGGAAAATTCCACACCTTATATGACAAGTCATGGGAAAAACTGTTTCATGCACAAAATTATTAAAAATATTATACAAGCCTGGCGAGGTAGCTCATGCCTGTAATCGCAGCACTTTGGGAGGCTGAGGTGGGCAGACTGCCTGAGTGGAGCAGGAGTTCGAAACCAGCTTGGGCAACATGGCGAAACACCATCTCTAAAAAAATATACAAAAATTAGCTGTGCGTGGTGGCCTATAGTCCCAGCTACATGGGAGTTGAGATAGGAGGATGGCGTGAGCCCGGGAGGCCGAGGTTGCAGTGAGCCATGATTGTGCCACTGCACTCCAGGCTGGGTGACAGAGTGAGACCCTGTCTCAAAAATAAAAAACAAAACAAAAAACCTATATAGTACCAAATCACTTTGAGTTCATGTGTACAAGTGTATATGAAACATAAATGAATTTCATATTTAGACTTGAGTCTTATCCTCAAGCTATCTCACTATGTATATGCAAATATTCTGAAATCTGAAAAAATCTGAAATTTGAAACACTTCTCGGCCCAAGACTTTCAGATAAGGGATATTCAACCTGTATTAGAATTAATGGAGGAACTGAACTGCTTAATTTTTAGCAGTGTTCTACCTATCAAAGGCAGAAAAAGATATTGAACAGCTGGCAACATATAACCATACGCACAACTTCAACTAGCAAGATATGTACTACTACTTCATGAAGCAGGAAAGTAACTCACATTCTGGGCCTTCTGAATACATGACAAGAAGAGCCAAAAGGATATCACTGAAACACTGTCCTATTTCTCTGTCCTTATTATGAAATCCACATGGCTTATTTTGATTAGACTAAAGTAGCATGCAAAGCAGAAAATGAAGCATTATTCCTAAAACGATGCTAGAGCAATCATCAGCCAAAAGCTTCAGTCAGGACTCATTCTATTGCATGTGACATGGGAGGAAACGCATTTCTGAAGGAAGAATGCACTCTACTATCATGAAAGAGGTATTCTGATTCTATTATTCACAATATGGCAAAGATGTCTAAAGGAGGAAAAACAAAGCAAACAAACACCTCATTTTATGTGACACAACCTTCCATGATGCAAACCTCGTAAGTTCATCATGCTAAATCTTCAAAGACTCTTTTTTAAAAGTCTAAGTAAGACTGTGGAAATAAAAAGAAAATTTGAGCAGGAAAAGATCAAGAACTGGTGTAAAGCTAAAGCAGACCTGCTTCCTCATCCTCCTCCTCCTCTTCCTCATCATCGGAAGTTGATGACAAGGGAGTTGGTGCGGAGCTAGCTTGATTATTAACATATTCACCATACTGCATGCCTGTAAAGTGGAAAGCACAAACATAAGAGTCAAACCAACAGGAAAGATGAGAAACAAAATTTTGACATTGCATTAAAAGTGAGAAAGAACTCTGACATTCCAAAGAACATCCCAACATGCATATTAATATTAGCAAATTTATTATCAAAACTAGAACCATTAGAAAATCTCTGCAAAGCAGTTTAGTAAAAGCAGCTTTAATATGAACTGGCTTAAGTGTGGAAAGGTATATATCATGTATTGTACATTACACTGTTAGTATTTAGGAAGCTGAAATAATATTCTCTGAAAGGTTTACTGAGCTCTCTATATGTTTATCTTCTTTGACCTTAGGGCCCTTATATATTGCCTTTGGGATTCTGCATTTTTGGTGGGCAGTGATCATTTATAGTGAACTGATTTTGTACAGCATACAAAACACATACTTGGTACCTTCCTTCTGCTAATGTCACCTTGATGGTAACTCAGTTCCCATAATGGAAAAAGAATGACTGTCAAAGAAAAAAACTGTATTCAGTACAGTTCTCCTCTAACAGTGGATACTCTGGAAGTGGGGGGGCAAGGGGGTTGCGGGACTTACTGTGACTCTACAAGTGTGACAATTACAAAAAACTCAATTTTTTGAGACAGCCAGTCATGTCGGTATCATCTTGTTGCCTACATGTGAGTCTGAAGCAGGTGAGTAAAGACTGGTCCTGTGTGAAATAAACCAACAGAAGGCAGATTCTGTAGAAAAGGATGAACTGGTATTGGTGACTGTATACACTTCTCTTTAAAAAAAGTAATTAGGTATTTCTATTACTTGATCTGGCAGAATCAGGACTTTAAAATTTAACATCTATACAATTTTTAAGAGAGAAAATAAAAATAATCTTAAAAATGAAACACTTCATAAATAAGAATAAACATCCTTATACGGAAAATCTCATAGCTCTACTTTGAAACAAAGAAAAAAGAAAGCTCAGAAACATAGTGGGGATTTTCAAGAACGCTTCCTAATAATGGGGGGGTACAATGAAATCCTGACTCACCCAAATCACATGGTAGTTTTTAATGCTCTCTTTATTTTTTTTCGGGTGACTAGCATACTTGATTAGCATGGATTAACAACTCATTTCTAGAGTAAGAAAAAAGCTATTAAAGAAAAAAAATTAAGAGTTTAGAGGCAAAGGTTAAACTGTAGATGAATGAAGCTTTGATCTTTAAACTATGACTAAAAAGTCATGGAAAAATCTGCTAGCTTTGCTGAAACATCTTTTGATATCAGCAAAATAGTATCACAAATTCATCTGAGAAAATAAAAATCAATGTAAAATAGGTTCAGGTAATGCAAGAAACAGACTTAATATCTTGAAAAAACAAATTCTGAGTGGCATGTTCCTCTGACAAAAGCCCAATTAAAATGAAAATTTGAGCCAAGCACAATAGCTCATGTCTATAAACCCAGCACTTTGGGAGGCTCAGGCAGGAGCATCACTTGAAGCCTGGAGTTCAAGACCAGCCTGGGAAACATAGTGAGACCCCATCTCTGTAAAAAGTAAATGGTGCCCTGCTCTAGGTTGGGTACAGCACATACAGATTATGACAAACGGGGAGCTATAGTCTGAAAGGGGTTGATAGCCAAGTCATCTATGCTAGCATAAGTGAACAACTATATGAGCTTCCTGAAGTGCCTCTAATTCAGATTCTCTTTAAGAGCCAGAATGTAGGTATGAGATACATAGATCAACTACATAAGATGGTAAAATATGACATCCTTTCCCAGAGCTCAGCCTGAAACCCACTGTAGAAATGTATGTACATGGAGTAGCTACCTCTACCACCACCATCACCACCACAAATGTTACATCATAATTTATTCTATCTTAACCAGGGCTTTCAAGGTATAAATCTACTAAAACAAGAAACATGACATACTTTATAGAATCTAACATGAGGTAGCACTGTTATTCAAAGGGCTCCAATATTTTAGAAAGAACATTTAGTTTAAGTTACCTACCATTAAAGTACCTTCAGGCAAAACTGTCCAGGGCACCATATCCTTGGGGCTGCTTAATATTCTTCAGTGTTCCCTAGATACAGCTATACTAGGAATAAATGAAACTAATCTTAAGAGAATAAATCTCTTGCAGAGATTAGTTTTTAATTCAGGAGTTCAGACTTTTGAGCAATTGCTCTCTTTCCTAAACCAGAAAGTACATACTAAAGACTTTTCCAGGGTCCCCACAAAAGAATGGTTTTAAGGGAATCAGTTTTCAGATATAAATTCCCGTAAGTACTCTCTTTCCTCAAACTTATCTACCTAACCAAGTGCCTGTGTTAATGACAATCTTTCTTTTACTTTACAAAGGGAACACATGAACTTAGCTTATCCTAATTCTTACCATGATACATTGCTCTAACGTATACAAGTCTCTCATTATACAGTACACAGTAAGAAATACCGAACAGAGAAGGAGCATGACATTATGGATAAAGATGGGGACTCTGGGTTCAACTTCAGGTTCTATCACTTACTATTAGTATGTCCTTGGGCAAGTTACTAACCTCTGTTCTTCATTCATATTATCTATAAAATGGGGTAACACTTCAAATGGTTGTGGTAAGGATTAAATGAGTCAATATATTTCACATGCTTAGAATGGTGCATGACATACACCAAATACAAAATAAAGGTTAGCTATATCACTAACTTTAAAAACATATTTTTGTGTATATTTAAATTATTTTCAGCTGTTCTTTTTAGAGCACATGATTAGTGAGAAAAAAAAAGAACCTCTCACCAACCTGACTAGCACACTCAGTCCTGCTATTTATTTATAAGACAGTCTCACTCTGTTGCCCAGGCTGGAGTGCAGTGGCAGTATCTCAAATCACTGAAACCTCTGCTTCCCGGGTGCAAGCAATTTTTCTGCCTCAGCCTCCCAAGTAACTGGGATTACAGGCCAGCTAATTTTTGTATATTTTTAGTAGAAATGGGGTTTCACTATTTTGTCCAGGCTGGTCTCCAATTCCTGAATGATCCATCCACCTTGGTCTCTCAAAATGCTGGGATTACAGGCGTGAGCCACCATGCCTGGTCGTCATTATTTTAAAACCAAATGCAATATTTTCTTAGACTACCAAGTGTTTTTAAGATATACTCACTAAAACTCAGAGATAAAAAATTCTGTGATTTCTTTCAGAGTCAATGTGAGATGTGTAAGAAAATATTTTACAACATTTTTAAGATAAAATATAATACAGTAAAGTCTTAATTTTTATATTTTATAAAATATTTAACACTTTCTATATCCTTTTAACAAAAAAGTATTTACCAACAAGTGAATCAACTAGTACTTAGTAGTATATGCTTTGACATGTTTTGAGGAGTGCTTTGCCAGTTAGGTTACATGAAGATATCATTCATAAAATAAATGGCCTTTATCACAGCTTGATGTTTTTGATACAAACACATTTACAGGGTATGGTAGTCAGGCACAGTGGCTCACACCTGTAATCTCAGCACTTGGGAGGCCAAGGCAGGAGAATCACTTGAGCCTTGGAATTCAAGACCAGCCTGGACAACACAGTAAGATCTCATCTCTACAAATAATTTTTTTTAAAAATTAGGTGTGGTGGTGTGTGCCTGTGGCCCTAGCTACTCTAGCTACTCAGGAGGCTGAGATTGGAAATCAGGGGCTCAAGGGTCAAGGCTGCAGTGAGCTGAGATCTTGTCACTGTACTCTGGCCCGGGCAACAGAGCAAAACCCTGTCTCTAAATAAATAAATAATAATAAATAAAGGGTGTGGTAAGATAAATTGGCCATGATTGAGAGAAATTCAAAATACTTTGAGTAACTGCTGATAGAGTAAAACAAATACTGAATTTGAAGGCAAAAGGTAAGCACTGGGCCTGGGTACCTATCCTACCGACTCTGTAGGTCTTTGGTAAGACATGTAACCTTTCTAAACTTCAATTTCCTCTCTTATAAAAGGAAGCAAAGATACAATATGCTTGTTCCATGTGATGAGAAAGTAAGACAGAAAAAATTAAAGGAATTTGCAAATTACAAACTGCTAGACGAAATAATAATGTTAACAACTATCTACCACCTGGAAAATAAAATCTAAGAAACAATAATTTCTGACATGTAACTCAGAAGATTAAAAAGAGTCAAAGCAAAACAAAGCAAAATAGAACAATACTGCTTTAGTAGAACTCTTCCAATACAATTCTAATCTATTTTATGTGAACAATGTTTCTCAGCAATTATATGTAGGAAAATAAAAACTGGGAATGAAACTGATCTGAACACTATCATATTCTAACAATGAATCATATGCTACTCAGATACAAAGCTATAGTGGGGAGAGGAGACAGCCCATTCATTTCACTGAAAGATGTATTTCCAATAAAAACATACTTTAAATAAACACAAAAATTCATGGTGTTTATGTTGTTTTGACCAATTTTATATAAACAGTAAAAGCTGTAATGAATGACCGGGGACAGTGGCTCACACCTGTAATCCCAGCACTTTGGGAAGCGTAGACAGGAGGATCACTTGAGGCCAGGAGTTTGAGACCAGCCTGCTCACATGGTGAACTCGATTTCTACTAAAAATATAAAAATTAGCCAGGCATGTTGGTGTACACATTTAATCCCAACTACTCAGGAGGCTGAGACATGACAATCTCTTGAACCTGGGAGGCAGAGGTTGCAGGGACCCAAGATCATGCCACTGGACTCCAGCCTGGGTGACAGGGCAAGTCTGTCTCAAAAAAATAAAAACAAAAAAGAGAGAGAAAAAAAAAATTCATAATGATTGATGCCTTAATTCAAAAGAAAAAAAATACTATTTAGAGACTTACAATCATAGATAATAAATTTTAACATTTCAATTTATATATTATTGTCACAGAACAGCACAGTAGAGTGGTAAGAGTTTCTACTTTAAAAATATATTACATTTTTATATTAAGGAATGGGGATATGCCTTCAAAGAGAAAAAAGAAAAATGTAAACTTTCCAAATGCTAAAGAAGGGCTACTTGTGTGTGTGTGTGTTTTTTTTTTTTTTTGAGACGGAGTTTCTTGTTACCCAGGCTGGAGTGCAATGGCATGATCTCGGCTCACCGTAACCTCCGCCTCCTGGGTTCAGGCAATTCTCCTGCCTCAGCCTCCCGAGTAGCTGGGATTACAGGCACGCGCCACCATGCCCAGCTAATTTTTTGTATTTGTAGTAGAGACGGTTTCACCATGTTGACCAGGATGGTCTCGATCTCTTAACCTCGTGATCCATCCGCCTCAGCCTCCCAAAGTGCTGGGATTACAGGCTTGAGCCACCGCGCCTGGCCCGTGTTAGGTATTGGTCCAAAGGATACATTTGAAAGACTAATGTAACATCTCTGTTTTAAAAGTGAGCCAGCATATATAATATGTTAAAAATTACACAACTACAAGTAAAATTTTGATGAAAAATTTTAGGTATCGACCTAAAAAATGTTCAAGTAGGTGGTTTAAATTTTTCATGAAAAATTTTAGATATCAATCTAAAATATATTCAAGTAGGTAGTTTATAAAAAGAAATAGGGGCTAGTCAAACAAAAATTTGATCTCTCTCCTAAAAATAGGTAAAAAATGCTTAGCCTTGGGAGAACAACTAAGCAAAGGTGTCTTTGCAGCTGGAAGAAAAAAAGCTAATCTCTTTTTAAGTATTACCACTTCAGTAGGTCGTATCAGGCCCATAGTAAACTCTATGCAGATGACATACCGCACAATTCCAAGAGGCTCCATTCATGCAATGACAATTTGCACCACCATATGCGGTAGCCCTAACTCAATTAGGTTGTGTAGCCCAGATCTATCCAAAGACAAGTAAGTCACTAAGAGGCCATTCTCCTACTTATGAAAAAGGAACAACAAAAACTACAATTCAGATGTCTCTAGTATGATCTTTTCTGTTACTTCAGCAAGGAACTTATCTCAGATAAATCAGGAGTTTGTCAACAGCCAATGACAACAAAAATTCAGTCTTATTTTATAGAAAGAATACAAGACAGAGAGATCTGAGTTAAAAATCTTTTGCTTTGCTACTCTACTTACTAACTTGCAGTCTTGGGCAAGTTACCTAGTCTCTGTCAATCTCACTTTTCTCATCTGTAAAAAAGGAAGATTATCTATGTCACAGGATTAATATGTGAATTAATGAGATATAAAATTTCTGGCATACTGTATGTACAATAAACGGCAGCTTATTCTACTTTCAAAATATATTTTAATAGAAAAAGAAGAAATATAATTGTTAAGTGGGCAAACCGTTTACAAAATATTTATAAAAAGACGGTAGGATGGTATTCAAAGTAAGATGGTCAAAAAGAAAATATGACAGGAAGAAAGAAATCACGGGCAAGTAAAAGGTCAAAAAAGAAAAAAGCAAAATATTTAAGAAGTGGAAGGCAGTCATCAATGTAGAAGAAAAACAAGAAAATACACCATTCATTTAGTTAGGGCTTTGATCTATCCTAAAAGCTTTTTTGATTTGTGATAAGCAAAACTACTACTGGCCCTTCACTTTGAAGGCAAATACTTGTAAAAACTAAATTCTATTTCCAGTATACCCACTGGTTTGTTGAGAATCAACAGACATTCTTTGGTGCTGCAGTTCCTTTTCCTAAAAAACCAAGTAAGAAAATGTATAATGTATCATCTGATCAGTTGATAGAAAGATCTCTGTTGACCACATAGACACTCAACAGATATAAGCAATGAGATCACCCTAGGAATTTATCACGCTTTTTTCCTTTTCTCATATTCGGAATATAAGAAGGTTCTTTATACTCAAGGTGAGGAGCTGTCACTACACAATGAGTGTAGTCCCTAAAATAATACAATGGTTGCTCTGGAAATACAAACTATAGATTCTTGAAAAAAATTCAATCATCTCTGATCAAATGAAAAATGTCACATATTAACCTAAAACATCACTGCTTTGAAATTTTAGCCACACAGGAGAAAAAAAAAACTGCCAAAAGAAACAACGTGGGAAGCAGGATCAAAACAACACATTTTATTACCCTTTACTTACTTAACACATGGAGAATATTAAACAAACAATAAATCATATAGTTCGTCAATGATGCAAGAGTATGGGTTACAATTTCATTTTCACCTCCCTTCATTTGCAAAATTGTGTCAAAGCTTATTTTCTACTATCAGTAACAAAAAGCACAGAAATAATCAAATAGGATATGGAGAGTCACTAAATAATTAAGTCTTGGCTGCTTTATCCTGAAAGAAACTATACCACCTTTAAAAAATAGGAAATAAATGTTCCAGGACAGAGAGATAAAATAATAAACCATTATACATTGACACAATGAGTAATTAGTGATAGAAAGAGCTATAAAGAGTCAAAAGATATATGAAGGACTATGTGTAATTTAATAAACAGAAACGCAAAATACAAAATGGTATGTAATCATGTAAAACATATGAGACACAGTAAGTTAATATTCTAAAAGTTGTGTTTGAATTGAGATTATAATTTTTTTCATATCTTCTATAAATTAGGATCCTAGAGTTTAACTTTCTAAAATCAGCTATTCAAATATGTACATGTGTCTGTGTGTACATACAATAACAAATATCTCAGATACCTTTCTGTTGTAACAGCTCTGATGGCTGTGTAACTGAGGTCACAGGCTCAACTGGGTGATTTGCAGAGGGAGGTTTTCTTGTTGATGAGGATCCTGATAAAACAGTGGAAACTACTGGGCTGGACTTGGGAGGCTGAACATTTTGCATAACAGGACAGGATAAAGAATCTGCAATTGAAGATAAGAAACTATTTCATCCACAGAAACTTGAAATATATTTAAATAATATATATTACTATATAGAATAATATATGTAATATATAACTATGTATTATAATTGTATATAATAATATATATTACTAACAAACTACAGTTTATCTGAAGTTCTTGTAGAAACTTCAATAGCATCACATTTACCTAGTACGTCTAGAAAAGAAGGTGGTCCAAATGATTTTTTAAAAACTGAAAAATTACTCATCAAATGTTTTAATAAATTTTGACAATTTTCCTAAAATATTTCACAACCTTACCTTCTTAAACAAAATGAACTCAAACAACTTTTACTTACTAATGATCTCTACGAACACTAATTATTGTACAGATTATTGTACTATGCAATGGTGACTCAGGTAAGGAGATGAATAGAAGTTTCTGACTCTGCAATAATGTGGCCTCTGAATTCCATGAACACTTCCAGTATCAGTTCAGATCTTGTTTTGCACTATAAAGTGCCACTTCTCATTTGCTGTTTCTAACCAGATGCCTTGTTTCACATGTAACTAAATAAGGTTCACGAGGTTGAACTTCTGGAATAAAGTCCACATGATTCATCTTGGGTCTTTGTGATAGCTCAAAATACCAAATGTCTCCTCAAAGGCAAAATCGTCCCTGGTTGAGAAACAAGGGGTAAGTTATTGAAGATAATCTACCAGATTATCCAAGCAAGAGATAACTGAAAAACCTATGGTAAAAGACTAGCGGTGAGCAGTCACTATATACTGAATAAATCTACATACATATACCTGCACATATATGTATGTGTCTCTATGTATGGTGTGTGTGTATATATAACAAAATGTGTTATATATCCTAATAGTGTAAAAACAACATAAACAGGTATGAGCAACAGGGAAAGAAGGCAGAAGGTAGTCTAAATATGCTGACTGCTTCATCATTTTTAGTAGGAAGATAAACTGTCATTGTGGAAGATTGAAAACATCATCACAATATTTTACAGTTCCTTTTGTTAATATGGAGTCTATTTTACCACTCTCTGAATGGGAGCAAACTGTGACTGGCTTTAATCAACAGAATGTGGCAGAAATAAAAGCGTACAAGTCCCAGACCTCAAGTCTTAAGGAGCACCACAGCTTATGCCTTTCCCCTATGAAATGCTGTGTGGATTATCATATAGGGAAGCTGGTCTAGCCACGTGGAGAAAGACCTAGGCACACCAGTAAAGTGTTTCCACCAACTGCTAGACATGTGAGTGAAGCCATCTTACAATCTTCTAGTCCTACAAATCTCCAACTAAATGAATTTACATGAACGAGTTGAAGAAAAACCAGAACCACCCAGCAAACTCATAAAACCCAGAAAAATAATAAATCATTGTTATTTTAAACCAGCAATTAATAACTGAAATTATCACTAAAACTGCCAACATAAAACAGTGATTAAAAATATTTAACGGTATACAAATAAAAACTGAGAAAGATATATTTATGTAAAATTAGGGTCAGGTGTGGTTGCTCATACTTATAATCCCAGCACTTTAGGAGGCCAAGGTGGGCAGACTGCTTGAGCCCAGGAGTTTGAGACCAGCCTAGGCAACATGGTGAAATTCCATCTCTACTAAAAAATACAAAAATTAGCCAGGCACGGTGGTGCGCACCTGTGGTCCCCAGCTACTCATAAGACTCAGGTGGGAGGATAGCTTGAGCCCAGGAGGGGGAGGCTGCAGTGAGCCAAGATCATGCCACTGCATGTCATTGCACTCCAACCTGAGTGAAGGCAGGAGACCCTGTCTCAAAAACATAAAATCAAAGCCAGGCGCGGTGGCTCAAGCCTGTATTCCCAGCGCTTTGGGAGGCCGAGGCGGGTGGATCACAAGGTCAAGAGATCAAGACCATACTGGTCAACATGTTGAAACCCTGTCTCTACTCAAAAATACAAAAAATTAGCTGGGCATGGTGGTACGTGCCTGTAATCCCAGCTATTCGTGAGGCTGAGGCAGGAGAATTACCTGAACCCAGGAGGCGGAGGTTGCCGTGAGCCGAGATTGAGCCATTGCACTCCAGCCTGGGTAACAAGAGCGAAACTCCGTCTCAAAAAAAAAAAAAAGAGCGAAACTCCGCCTCAAAAAGAAAAAAAAAAGTGTGTGTATATATATATATATAAAATCAATCATATCAGGTGTATGTGTATATATATGTATCAATACACATGAATATACATAAAGTATAATACCCATGAACTCAGCATCCAATTTTGAAAATAAAACATTTCTAATATTGAAGCTCTCAATAAAAGCACTCCTCTGCCCCTCCTGAATCATGATTATTCTCGTTTTTGTTTTCAAATAGCTTACCACATATATATATGTATCCCTAGATATTATTTTTGCTTGTTTTGTAAACTTTATAACAATAACATACTGCAAGTATTCTTCCATATTTCTTGTGTTACATTCCTGGGATTCACTCATATTATGAGTGTAGCTCTATTTCAATTTCACTGCATTCAGAAGTCCAATAGGAGAATATAATTTATTTATTCATTCTGCTATTATGTTATTTCCAATTTTTTGTTTTCACAAACAGTGCAGCTATGAATACTCATGCACTTGTCCCTGGCATAGATATTCAAGTTTCTCTAGGGCAGAGCTTCTCCACATATATGCCACAGCTCAAATATTTGGAGGTGTGCAGCAAAGAATATCAAATCTCTCAGCCCTGGGGACAGCTCCGCAGGAAATGAGGTCTTTGGCCTAGAGAGCAGACTAGTCTCTTTGTCCGGTATCTTAAAAAAAAAAACACCAAAAAAAAACTATTTGCCATAAGAGGCATCCATCTGAAACAGGAAGTGGTTCTGCTTATGGCCTATTCTAAGTGTAGCCTACAAACTAGCAACACCTCATGTGGAAGATTGTTACAAAGTAGAATCTTAGGCTAAGCCATAAAAGACCTGGTGAATTAGAACCTACATTTAAACAAGATCCCAGGTGACACATATGCATAGTTTGATGAAGACTTCTCTAGAGTATATAGAAGGATAGCTGTGTTGTGGGGTATGGTTATTTTCAATCCACCAATGCCAAATTCTCCTAAAATACAAATGAATATACCCTCCCATCAATAGTGCCTAACAGTTTCCTGTTATTCCATGTCCTCACCATTCTTGGTATCATTAGACTTTCTATTTTTTACCCATCTGACACTAGATATAAGAAGATATCCCATTCTAGTTTTAGTTTGCTTTTCAGTGTTTATTAATGAGATTGAGTATGTTTTCATTTCATCTTCTGTGCAATGCCTATTCAATTACTTTTCTTCTGGTCGTTGGCCTTTTCCTTATTAATTTCTATGTAGCACTGTGTATTCTGGGTAAATACTGTAAGTATATATATATTTTCCCAGTTCACAGCTTGTGTTTTGTTTTTCTTCATGTCTTTCAATAAAGAAAAGTTTTAAATTAGAAATGAGTTATCAGGTGTATCCTTTATGGCTAGCATTATGTGCACTGTCCTTAAAAATTCCTTCCCTACTCCAAGGTTCTAGAGATAGTCTCCTATAATTTCTCTGAAAAGTTTTAAAGTTTTGCCTTTTTGCATTTACACATTTACTTAACCTGCAATTAATTTTATACATGGAGACTTCATCCTTCAGATTAAAGCTGAAGTATTACTTCCTTAGGGAAGATTTCCCCTAGGTGTCATGACTAACAGACTAAATGCACCTAAAGTAATGCTCCCAAGTACCATACACCTTTGCTTCATGATATTTAAACAATAACAGGAATTTTACATTCGTTTGTGTTTATTTGGATGTTTGCTTCTCTAAGTGAATTGCAAACTTTATGAGGATAACATTAATTGTTTTTACTCACTATTTCATCTCCCAACACTAGAACAACTTGTGGAACATAGTTGGCTTTCAAGTATTTGTTGGAAGAATGGAGATAAGGTCTACCAACATTAAGGACTAGAGAAGAATGCCAACCAAGAAGCTGCTCTTTTCACAAAGGGAATTTGACAAAAGAAACAACACATAAAACTGGAACTACGCAAAATGCACTGCTGCACTGTTTAGTTTCTGAGTTGTGATTCCTGAGAGAAGAAAATTATGATTCAAGAATATATTCTGTTTTTGATAATTAAGGTAGTTCCTCAGTTAATTTTTTACTTTTACTCTTCGGGTCAAGTGATCCTTCCGCCGTGGCCTCCCAAAGTGCTGGGATTATAGGCTGAGCCACCATGTCCAGCCTTTAGTTAGTTCTCAGTAACTCTTTAGTTCCCTGTTAGTTACTTAGAATTCACTTCCTCAAGTATAACACATATGAGGATTAGGTATGTAGATAGCCTCTGAAAAGAATATTCCTTTATTAATAGCCCTATCTTAATCAATTGTGCATAACATTTTCTTTTTTTTACATCCCATTTTCTGAGGAAAAAACTCTCAACCTTTCCACAGTGTCTGATATTTTCTTTTCTTTTCTTTCTTTCTTTCTTTTTTTTTTTTTTGAGATGGAGTTTCCCTCGTGTTGTCCAGGCTGGAGTGCAATGGCACGATCTCGGTTCACTGTAACCTCTGCCTCCCGGGCTCAAGTGATTCTCCTGCCTCAGCCTCCCCAGTAGCTGGGATTACAGGCATGTGCCACCACACCGAGCTAATTTTTTGCATTTTTAGTAGAGATGGGGTTCCCCCATGTTGGTTAGGCTGGTCTCAAACTCCTGACCTCACCTCAGGTGATCCCCCTACCTCAGCCTCCCAAAGTGTTGGAATTATAGGTGTGAGCCACCATGCTGGGGGCATAAAATTCCTTAGGAACTAGGAGAGATTAAATAAATTCTCAGTTAATAGTACCACCACCCATTCAAGTAGTTCAAGCTAGAAACTTTAAATCCTCTTGTATTTTTTCCTTCATAAACTGTATCAACAAATCCTTGAAGTTCTCTGTCTCATCTGTTTTCTGTATAAATGAATCCAGCCTAAATTATCATCCTTCACCTAGATAATTGTAGTAATTCCTTTCTAGCTGGTTTTCCTGTTCTAGGTTCTTCCTCCTCCAGTTATCTATTACACTATTCACAGAAGAAAGTTCTGAAACACAAATCTGATAGTGCCACCACCTTGCTTATAAACTTTTATTGGCTGCTGATTACATATAGGACAACGCATATGTCCTTCATTAATTCTTCTCACCTATCCAAATGCCACAGTCCAGGAGAAATTGAGGTTGATATTCTGGAGAAATGATAACTGCTAAAGCCAAAATCTGAAGTCAATGAACACAAAGATGGATATCTCATCTTCTGAGCTTGGAGGAGAACATGTAGAAAAATTTACAAGTAGTGGGCACAAAGTTGAAAAAAGATGATGAGGTTCAAGAGTATCTTTAGAAAAACTGAAGGAGTAAGAATGTGAGGGAGTAAAATTACGCTATTCCCATAACTCTGAAATCACACAAGTTTCTAAAACTAAAAATAGTCTCTTGTACTGAACTACTTGTATTTTGTTTGAGCACTTTATTTTTCCAATGCGGTTGTCTAATTTATTTCTTATTTATATTTCTACGTCCACACAATCATGTCCTACAAGGTATTTGCTTTTGCTTTTCTTCAGGCACATTATCACCCATAGATGACAGATACATTATTAACTTATCGGTGACTGTATCTTAGTGTCATGTGTGTAGTGGACTTTTATACAAGAATTATATACCACTTCTCGACGTTTTGGCTAGGTTCAAGTGTGAAGAATTATATAAATGCTTATTATTTTTACTCAAGTAGCTTTTTAATTGCTTTTATATACAACTGTGCATTACAAAACAGCATTAATCAGACACTACTATTTCATAATATGCTATCAAGATGTGGTTTTTATTAAGTAAGAAATATTCAAGATAATTCATTTTAATCAAAATAATTTTTCTGGCAAAATTCTACATCTTGGCAACAAGAATTATCTTGCTAATTTTTAAAATTATGTGCTTTTTAAAACAAAGAGATACTGAAGACAAACAAAGAAAATGATTTTAAATTAATCTATAGAGTTTTAGTACTCATCTTGCTGTCAAAAATAGGCATCTTTACATCCCCAAGTCACACTCAGGCAACTTCACCTCAAACTAAAGAAGAGCTTCTTTACTTATTATCTATTACAATTTTTTACTAAATTACTTGACTATACTAGAGATTCACCTACAGTGATAGTTTAAAACGTTTTAAGTGGCCTAATGAAATGACACCTTTTAAGCACTAGCCAAAAGTGCAATCTAAGTTAACAACTAATGTAGCAGCACTCAAAACACACATTCTTGGAGTGGACTTTTTTTTTTTGAGACAGAGTCTCACTCTGTCCCCTAGGCTGGCGTGCAATGGCCTGGTCTCAACTCACTGCAACCTCTGCCTCCTAGGTTCAAGTGATTCTCCTGCCTCAGCCTCTCGAGTAGCTGGGACTGTAAGTGTGTGCCACTACACCTGGTTCCAGCAAATTTTTGTATTTTTAGTAGAAACAGGGTTTCACTATGTTGGCCAGGTTGGTCTTGAACTCCTGACCTCATGATACACCTACCTTGTCCTCCCAAAGTGCTGGGATTACAGGCCTGAGCTACTGTGCCCGGCCTGGAGTGAACTTTTTAATAAAATAATTAAAGTTTTTATACTGAATTATAATGTACTAATATGCTTTTCTAAAATGAAGCAAATGAGATAATATTTAAAGGTCCCTTTCAATCTATGTTTTAAATATGAATTCATTAACTGCCTTAAAATAGCAGTATGTAACCATCTATCATCATATTTTTGACAGTCGCTTAACTCAGGTTTATGCTTCTGCATCTCCAACTGTACAAAATGACTGAGGACTTTTAGTATATCTGACAATGAAGTTGGTATAATCAAGTATTTAAAAAGGTAACCATTTCTGTCAATTATTCAAAGGCTGAATTTCACACAAAACTATGTTTAATACCTAAGATTCTCATTTTAAGGTGAAAATATAATTTGAATGTTGAAAGCAATTATGTTGCCTGCCTTTCTAGAATATTAAACTCAATATTCCCATACCCTGTACCTAGTACAAGGTACTTTTACCTAGGCTCCCAAGACACTGCAACAAACTCACAGGTTTCCAAGGAATATTTTAAATTGTCAAGAAAAAGTGATATGTGTCAAATACCTAATGAACTACTACTAAGTTACATGGGGCACTTGAAAAAATATTAAAATATATCAACTGAGAAAGTTTGGCAACTTTGGCAATATTTAATTTTAAAGTAGATTTTTAAAGTAACCTCTATTTCTTTTGAAATGGTAAAGCATATGTGTCATATTAACCTGAGATATATTTGTCAACCTCTGAAATTCAAGTAAAAAGTAATTTACCAATCTAAAGGCAGAAAAAAACTCCACTTCTGAACACAAATTAAATTCTAAAATACATTCATTATGGCACCCACAATATAGTAGTAAGATTAAAAGAATGAAAATATATCCCACCTCTCTGCCTACAGGGTCCATTGGAGCAGTTTATTCAAACAAAGAATAGTTTTGTAATTTATTCTCCCCCTTTATTTAATATTTTTTTAATGATAGGCCTTTCCCAATTACTTGTTCTGTTCATTAGCCAAGTGACCTCATATTTTCCTCACACATCTCAATATTAATTGGTTCCATCCAGCATGCTATTCCTACCTCAGGACTAACACAGGAATTACCTGTATTTCCTTTGTCAAGAAAGTCACAAAACCCTTACATTGAAAGGACGTTAGGATATGTGGATCTGCAAAAGGAATGCTGAAAGCAGAGAGGAAAACACTTTATAGAAGACAGAAATCCCTGGTTCTGAGGCAAGATGGAAGAAACTGACCTACAGGCAAAGCTCTGTTTCTGCCATTAATGACCACAGGCAATTTAACTTGGATAGCCTTCTTCATTTGTAAAACAAAAGGATTACAGTAAAATTTAGATCTGTTTCACAGCATCACTTAAGATCTAGTTAGAAATAGATTCTCAAGAGTACCCTGGAGATTCTATTCTAGCTCAGTAAATTGTAGTTGAAAATCACAATCTGTGCAAGTGATTCTGGTAGACAGCCAGATTTGGGAACTGTGACAGACACTTTCAGTTGACTCACCCAAGTCAGCGCTAACTCCCTTCTTTCTTGCTTGCCTCCACTATGGATGCTAAAAAAAAGGCTCAATATTCATTTTCCAGCCTTCCCTGAAGCTAGGAATGGTCTTTTAAACAGCTGTGGCAAATGATCTGTAAAATGAAGTCTGTCAATGCCACTATCCAGTCCCCCTCTTCCCTTCTTCCTGCTTTTAATTCTGACTTAATGTCTATAGGTACAGAAGTATCTTCTTTCTATAACCTATGTGCTAAGAGTGGCAGAGCAAAAAGAGAAAAAAGGATACCAAGAACACGTGGATTCACTGCATCCACCTAGACTAGCGATGTGAGGAAAATACCCGCTTTTTTGTTTAAACTACTATGAGTTGCTTGTAGCTGAAAGCATTTCTAAACGACATAGCAATGAAAGAGTAGATGATCTCAAATGTACAACTCAGATCTAATATTAAAGTTCTAATTTTAAATAATTTAATTGTCCAGAGAAGGATACCTTTCTACATCTTTGAGGCATGGCTACCCAGACAATGATACAAAATGTAAAGACTCCATTTCGAAAGTTAGCACAGCTTTACCAATTCCCATTTTTATATACATTTTCATTTGGTTCAAGAGGAGATTCTGTTAAATTCAAGTTCTCAAACTGAATTAAAATAAGTATGTCTTATGGCAACACTACACTTATCCTATGGAAATACTGCACGGTAGCCTCAGCTACTTGTGGGGCTGAGATGGGAGAATTGCTTGGGCCCAGCAGGACGAGGCTGCTGTGAGCCAAGATCATGCCAGCCTGGGTGATAAAGTGAGACCATGTCTCAAAAAAAAAAAAAAAAAACAGCTACATCTTACACTTACATACAATTTAAATGAACAAATTTAACAATGCCCTTGTAGTTTAGGAAGGTAAGAAAGGCTAATACCAGGGTATTCTTCAAGCCTCTTCCTTTCCCTTCCCCATCTTTCAGCCTAACTTGCTAATCTGAAAATGAGAAACACTGTTTACATGCAGGAAAGATACCTTCTGTAGGAGTTGCTAACGGGGCTAACTTGAGGAAACCAGTGCACTGCGGCAAATCATCCTTCTTTCTAAGTTCGGCTCTGGCTAAAAAAACAACTGTCCCAAGGTTGAACTAGTATAACAGAGAAAATAGTAGCCAACATACCCTCAAAGCAGACCCTTCCATTTTGCCCTGTATCTAATTCACATTAAAGACAATTGCAGATATACAAAATATGTCAGTAAACACTGACTGATCATGTCAGGGAACCAAGCTAGACAAGGCAGATGGTTGGGTGGCTAACTGGAAATGGATGAGAAGAAAGGGTTCAAAGAGATGCTGCAAAAAAACACAGTGAATTTAGCAAACTTCCAATTTTTCTATTAGGCAATACCATCTTTAATCTTTATGTAAATAATGACTTGATTGGGAATGCACTGATTATCAAACATGTTTTGGTTAACTTTTCATTTAACCTACCAGTAACTGTTGGGTTGTTGTTCGCTATAGCCAGAGATCCCATATGGTTTCGGATGAGATTGTCTTGAGTAGACGGAAGGCCTGGAGCTGACCACGTTAGAGTATTGTATCCTGAAAGACTTTGCTGCTGGTGGTGCTGTTGTGAAGGTGGAGGTGGAAGTGGTGATGGATGGCTAATAGCTGTATTTTGACCAGAGAATGAATTATCTTTAACTGGCCTAACAGTCGGAGCATTCTGTGAGGTAAACATTTGCCCATATGTATCACCAGCAGGCAGAGAGGGATATGAAACACTAGGATACACAGCATTAGAAACAGTTGACATAGCATAATGACCACAAGTAGAGGGAAATCCCTGAGAAGCAACAGAAGAGTTGGCAGAGTACATGGCTGGACTATTGTAGTGATTCACAAAAGAGGAGTATGGTTGGGAGGCACTCGTATGCAAATGGGATGCTGATGATGCAGCACCTTGAAAAGATCCTGGAGTGGATCCAACAATATGAGGGGCAGGAGGACCCCTGCTGTACATCTGCTGTGCTCCCGGCTGTTGGTTTGCTGTGCTAGGAGTCACCACATTTTGTGTTGGTACTGTATAGAGAGCAGAGTAGTAATCACCACATTGGGTATCCAATGGTAATGAGGTCATTTTCCCAGGTCCTTGAGAGTAATGTCCTGAGGGAGCAATATAGTTTTGATGATGCAATCCATATCCAGACGGAACCTGCATTTGATTCTGGGCTGGACCTGAAAAAGAAAAGCAAATATTTACAGGACTGGTAAAGAGATAACTAATTTTTAAACATAGTCCCCATTTAAATGTTGACCCAATTAGCTTTCTTTTGCATAATCCCAATTTATCACAGATGATATACACTGTTATAGACACATTATAGCAGCCAGTCTCCAACATGTCCCCAATGATCCCCACCTCCTGTTATTCACACCCTTGTGTAGTCCTCCCTCCCAATGTACCAGGACTGGTCTGTATGAACAATAGCATATGGCAGAGGTGATGACATGTCTCTCAGATCATGTCACTCAGTCTGAAAGAAGCAAGCTCCAAGCTGTGAACAGCCCTATAAAGAAGCAGTGAGGAACTTAACTCTGGCCAATAGCCAAAGAGAAACTAAGATCTGCCAACAACCACGACTGAGGTTTCAGGCAGATCCTTCAAACTCAGTAGAGCCTTGAGATTCAACTATAGCCTAGCTAACAGCTTATCTCATGAGAGACCCTCAACCAGAACCACCTAGCTAGGCTGCTCCTTTATGTTCCTGAGAAACTGTGAAATAAATTGTTGTTTTAAGTTGTTAAGTTTTGGGGGTATTTTGTTATACAGCTATCAAACTAACATACCCAGCCTGGAAGAAGTTTGAACTTTTTTTTTGAGACAGGGTCTCGCTCTGAAACCCAGTCTAGAGTGCAGTGGCATGATCATGGTTCACTACAGCCTTGTTCTCCTAGGCTCAAGCAATCTTCTCACTTCAGCCTCCCAAGTAACTGGGATTACAGGCATGCACCATGGTGACCAGCTAATTTTTACTTACTTATTTTCTACAGATATGGGCTGTCACTGTGTTGCCCAGGCTGGTCTCCATTACACCATTGGCCAACTAATGTTTTTAAATTTATTTTTTGTAGAGACAGGGTCTCACTGTGTGCCCAGGCTGGTCTTAAACTCCTGGACTCAAGTAATCCTCCTCCCTCAACCTCCCAAAATGCTGGGATTATAGGCGTGAGCCCTTGTACACAGTCGAAACTTTTTTAGTTTTTTTCCCATAACTATAAAAGTGACAATATAACCACTGTAGAAAAAAATTCAATGAAGAATATAAAGTAAAAATCTCTGCCTAGTAGCTTATATCCTTTTTCTGAGATATAGATACAGTTAATGGTTATGTATCCTTTGTATATCCATGTCTATGTAATGCACATGTAAGCATGTATATAATTTACTTGATTTTTTAAACACATAAAAAGGATCATATTACAGTTCTGCAACTTGCTTTTTATTTTATTTAATATATGCTGAATATCCTTCTGTGTTACCATATATAAATCCTCATTATTCTTTAAAAAATTTACATATAGTACTTCATTGTAGAGATATAACATTATTTACCAAATCTCCATTGATGAATATTTATCTTGGGGGTGAAATATAATTTATATTTATGAGGTCAACTTCCATGATGAAGCTGTTAAGACAAATTTCTAGAAGTCAAAACTGGAAGTTCAAAAGGTTTTTGTTTGACCGGGTGCGGTGGCTCAGGCCTGTAATCCCAGCACTTTAGGAAGCTGAGATGGGTGGATCACCTGAGGTCAGGAGTTCGAGACCAGCATGGATAACATGATGAAACCCCATCTCTACTAAAAATACAAAAATTAGCCAGGCGTGCTGGCAGGCGTCTGTAATCCTAGCTACTTTTTTTGAGACGGAGTCTCGCTCTTTTGTCCAGGCTGGAGTGCAGTGGCATGACCTCAGCTCACTGCAAAACCAATTCTCCTGCCTCAGCTTCTTGTGTAGGTGGGATTACACATGCGTGCACCACGCTGGCTAATTTTTGTATTTTTAGTAGAGACAGGGTTTCACCATGTTGGTCAGGCTGGTCTCAAACCCCTGACCTTGTGATCAACCCACCTCGGCCTCCCAAAGTGCTGGGATTACAGGTGTGAGCCATCCTGCCCAGCGGCAAATATCTCCTAAAAAGTTTGCCAATTTATACCTCCCATCAATAATGCTTAAGATTGCCTCATTGTCCCAACACTGAGTCTATTTCAATCTTTTCCAATCTGAAAAGTGAGAAACATTTTAGTTTACAGTAGTTAACTTTCAATGATGCTGAGACTCTCATTTGGGTTTTTCTCTGCTGTTTGCTTTTCTTCTACAGCATTGTGATTTCCTTAGTAATTCGTAACTGTTCTCACAGAGTAGAAAATTAGCCTAATGTTATGCGCTGTAAGTATTCTCCCCAGGTTACTGTTATGTTTTGACTTTGTTCATGGTATCTTTTGCTACAGTTTCTTGATCATTGTGTAGTAAAATTGTTTTTTATGCTTGACAGATTTTTAAATCATACTTAGTAGAGGTTTCTCCATATCAAGATTATAAAACTATAAAACCATGTTTTATTTTAATGTTTTATACTTTCATTTGTATATATTTATATCTTTGATAATAATGGCATATATTTATTTTATACCAAAACATTAATCCTAATATTAATGTTATTAAATAAGCACATTATATGCCACTCAATGTTCCAAATGCTTAACATATATTAACTTATTTAATCCTCCAAAGCAAATAGTATTATACCCATTTATCAGTAAGTTAAATGAGGCACAAAAGTGAATATGTTTAACACAGTTATACGCTTAGGAACTAACTGGGCTAGAATCTGGCTCAAGTTCATGCTCTTAACCAATGATCTGTTGCCCCTCACTACAAATGGCTAATTGTCCCAACAATGGAATTCTAGTCTTAGTTCTGATTACTTTTCTTTGAGTTTTGGGCAAATCTTAATTACCTTGGAATCTAGTTTTTCTGTCCTGTGGAAGAAAACAGGTACCGGTGCCATTATCTCAAATGAAAGCATAATGTAACAGGAAACTAATAAGCCGTTTTAACTCCACTGACACAAATACACAAAGGAAGTACACTATACTCTTTGACATAATAATGTATCAAAATATTTGTTTATAAAAGAGATAAGAATAAAGTGTGGATTTTCTAATTGTTTTAATTCCTACTAAATAATGCAATGGGATCTTCATTTCTTATCCTGTAATTATATTCTATGGCCATCATAAAGATAACTTACATAGTCAAGCTGCAAGGGGAAAATATCATCTACACTCCTCTTATAATTCCAAGAAGTATACAGAGAACCAAAATACTGATAACACTATTTTACCAGGTGTACAGTTTACTTTTCTTACGGATTATTTTACATGGTCATAATTCATCTGAATTTCTTTACTTAAGGAAATGAAGTCTATTAGAAATCTTTCATGAACACGACAAAAGTAAAATGTTGTCCTCCTTTCTATTTAAACACATTAAAAGATGGATGTGCTACCTTTCACTATAGTGTTAGAAAACTCTCCACTAGTAGAATTTATCAATGAAGAGCCAAGTTAGATTTAGAGAAATCTGTTTAAATATCTACTGACTTAATGACTGACTTGGCATATCCATGCTACACGATCTGAAAAGAAAGAAATAATCATTATGTCCCAACCATTCAAATGTCATTCTTTTAAAAATAACAGGAATGCTCTATCTGCTGAAATTTATCAAAAGTGCGTCACCCACCAGAATAAGTCTATTTACTTTCTAGCCTATCAAAGAAAGATACTTACTCTGGGACAACATGGGGGCAAGAATATCTAACATAACTAAGTATATGTGGAGGCTTACCATTTCTTACTTTACATCAAGATCTAAATGTTACAAATGCATAAAAAAAATCTGAACGTAATTAAATAAAAAGAGATAAATGTGTATCATTTTTAACATGTATTCAGTATTTTAAAATTACTGAGATATTTTGCTTTTTTTTTGTATGATTTCTTTTTTTCCCTTTTTTTTAAAGACAGAATTTCACCACGTTGGTCAGGCTGATCTTGAATTCCCGACCTCAGGTGATCTGCCAGCCTTGGCCTCCAACCACCTGCCTTGGCCTCCCAAGTGCTTGGATTACAGGTATGAGCCACCATGCCCAGCCTTTTTTGTACTATTTCTTTAAAAATCATTGTATATTTTACACTTAGAGTACTTCTCAATCTGATCAACCATATGTCAAGTACTCAATCAACAGCCATGTACAGCTAGTGACCACCACACTGGACAGAAAGTCTACAGCATATGTCTATGATTCCAGTTGTTTCTGCCTCTCATGGCAGATTAAATTTTCAGCCCTCAGTGTTTCTCCCCTTATTCTTTTCTAGTATACCTGCTTCAATTTCTTTCCATATTTCATTTAAGCTCTATGGCTTCCAAATATTGTATTCTAAGAAAGAACTATTTTTCTGAGAGTAGAGCAACACAGTAATTATGCACATATATACACATACTATGTTTAACTTATCTGAAGACCAAACTCCTGTAATTATTCATCTGTGATCTTTCTTGGAATTCAAAATGATTCTGCAGCATGTATGAAAAGACTGCTATTATTTTAATACTTCTAAAATATAGATAAAAGTTGTGGAGGAGAAAAGAAATTTGTTACGCATATAGTCAAACTTTTGAAAAATAACTTTCTTATCACAAATGTGATAGTCATTGTTAAAAAAAAAGAGAAAGTGATCAAATAAAAATCATCTGTAATCTCCCTGAGATAACCTCTGTTAACATTCTGATGTATATCCACCCAGAATTTTTTTTCATATGTATGTATAATTTAGTCAAGCAAAAGTTGAATTATAATGTACCTTTTTAAATGATTTCTTCATTTAGCATGATTTGAATATCTTTCCATAATTTTTAATGTCTGAATAGTATTCCATTACATAAATTTACCATATTTTAATCAATTTTCTATTTGCCATTTAGGTTTTCACTTTTTAAACATAAACCACATGATAATTAATAGATCTGTAGATAAATTTTTGTGCTCATTCAATTCACTAAAAATAACTTCCTATCAGCTGCAATTGTTGGGTCAAGTCCCTAGGTGGCAGCTTAACTGTGCAGAAATAGGAGATGTCAAGATGCCCAGCAAAAAGGGAGGTAGTGA